CATTATTCGGCGATCTACAGCCTAAGATTGTTAGTATTGTTACTATTTCAGGTAAACAAAGGTAAATCCCAACAAGACTAAACCATCAAACTGGGTCATGAAAACGAGGTAAATTAAACCACAGCCAAGTCGCGTGCTGTAGGTGTTGTGTTGGCGTGTCTCTGTACTATACCGCACGGGCACACGCGGTATAGTATCTCGCGGACAATCTGAGTGTGTCCGCGGGATCGATGGCCCAAGGCCGTGTCACGTGACCTTCAACTCACAGCTGATTGCAGACTACACTCGTCACCTGACGCGTCGCCCGAGTCTCTCCCGCCTCGCCGCGTGACTGACGTAGACGAGTCGGAGACAGCTGTTAGCCGCCGCCGCCGGTAGAACACTGCGTGAGGCTCACGTCAAAAGTTGTGTTCCAGTCACGACATGGAGTGGAAGTTTGAGATTTGATATATTTTCGTTGGATGGTGAAGAGTTCATGAGTATCGTCATTGACTATCCTCTACGTAGTTGTATAGTCAATGGTACCATTATTCAACGAAACTTTTAACATAAGCAATATACCATACCTAACTATTCACCTTTTGAAGCAAACATACTAAGTGGTCGGAAAAAAATCATGGCATAAGAGGTAAAAAGAGTCCAGCACCCTTTTAAAAATATAAAAATCTAAGTCTAAGTAAATGATTGATGATTATCAGTAACAATTCATAAAATAAATTGTCATTTCAAAAATTTTAAATTGTATATTTCTAAGCCACACATTTATTGACGTTTTTTTAAAAGGGAACGATCCAAACCCTGGTCTTGTTACTATTTAACGTCGACCTTAAGCCCGGGCCCAATGACATACCGTAATCCGATTTGAAGTGTATGCTGACAATATACAAAATGCTCGTCACCTGTAACCCAGGGCTACAGATATCCTGTAACCACTCGGCTACCCAGGCAATCAATTTTAGGCGACCCTTACACAAATCTTCATAAGTTTAAATACATCTTGCATTTTGGAACTGTGAAAAACCATAGATAAAACTTTGATAACTCGACAATTTGTGGACCCAGCCGAGATATCGAGAACATCGGAAATCTTAATGGGTTTCAATAAATAAATACATAACACAGACTAATATTTACATTTATAAATGTATTACTTACATGAGTATTTTTACATATTGAGTGAAAAATCTAAAAAAAATTCAAATATTCAATAATTTTAACTGTAATTCCGCATCAGGACTAATAATTGGTGAGGAAATGTTTTTCGTATTTAAAAACTGCATTAACATTGAATTTGATCAAGCTTAATGTTCAAATTAATTTTATAATTGAAGACGATTATTGGTTGATGTATAAAATCCTACCAACAAACTAGAAAATTATTATTTGTATCATGTACTCGTACTGTACAGCAACAATGTAGCAAACGCCTTCAAACAGTTCCAAGTTGACTGCAGTACTAAGCTGATTGGAACTTGCACAATCTTAATTGAAGGGGTTGATAAAGTGTACTTGATTCAATGAGTTGCTTCTACTTCTACTAGATTGAGAGACAAGGTGACCGGATCAAAATTCTCTGCATTAATTGACAAAGTGCATATCTTTACATCCTAGACGTTAAAGTATATTTCAAAATATATTAAATAAAAATATATGTAAGAGAATCTATTTTAAATATTTTCACTATTAGTGACTGCAAAGTAAGACAAATTAAATGTCACCCTTTGGTCACGTAACATGATACATTAAATCATTGACTATAGTACATAGCCAATGACTAAACATAACCCCTTAGGGACTTTTCATTCTTATGTATCAGTAGAAAATAGTTGTGAGGTACAGTGTGAGTGTTTTACTTTCTAGTCTGTTTCTTTGCTCTTTCGCCAGCTTTAAAAATATTTTAACAAAGCGAACCAATCAATGTATCCGTTCATGTATGAGAACTGTTGCTACTCCTCAGAGTTTATAAACAAGAGAAACAAACAGTGTTAAATTTATTCTAAAGTTAGAGAAAACATTAGTCAACATTAGTGCATTTAAGTCTACCCAATTCTCAACATAAAACCCTATGTCTAAACAAGCGACATCTTTTACAAAAGGAAAACATTTGCAGTACCAAAAAGAAAAGTTCTTTGTATATGTATATGTGTAAACAGTTACCAAATTTCATATTATGTACTCATACTTTCACCTAATCAACACAACCTATAAGGCCAATTTATTAATTAATTATATTCACAATGTTCTTAATTGAAAAAAAATCTTCTTAACTATTGGAAATGGTTAATAATTAATTACCTACAACCTCTATACTGTAACCCTTTCTTCTTTTCTTGTGAAACAGTTGATTGCAGTTCCATAACATCAATCATAATTTGTGTGAGCCTTGACTTGTCCTTCTCAGACACATTCAGGCTAAAGCTGGGTTTTCCTAGACGCGGAGTCGGCCAGCGGAGAGCGGACAACGGAGAGCGGACTCAGCTTGTCTTAGGTAATTTAATGTTACTGTTTTCCTAGCAGCGGAGCGGAATGCCATGTTAATTTCAATTCCGCTCTCCGTTGTCCGCTCTCCGCTGGCCGACTCCGCGTCTAGGAAAACCCAGCTTTACTACTTCAGTGGGAAAATCACTGTTATAGCCTTTTGTACAAAAAAAAAACACAATTATTAAAATAACTATTGTATTGCATGTTTCTGAGATAAAAATTTGTTTGTAACGTTTTAAACGTTGATAATTTTTAGGACAAAGAGAATTGAGAAAATTTAGGGAACAGGAACTTCTCAGAGATTCTAAGGTCAAATTGACCATAAAAGTAGACACTTAGTCAATTGTGTTAGTACCTTTGTCTTATTTAGCCTTTCGCCAATAAATGAATTTGAATCTAGTTACCTGGACAGTTATCTAATGATCCTTATTTATGACACATGAAACCGAACCCTGTATTTTCCTTTATTTCTTATCAAGTTGGGTTTGCTGAAATAGACTTTGCTCATGCTTTTATATTCAAAGCTATTCACCCCGACATATTTCATACACAATAAACAAAATATTTACCCTTTAAATCAAGAAAATGTATTGCTTTCACAACCCACTTAGCATAATGATTTAATTTTCTTTTCTTGTACTTATGATACCAACTCATCAACATATGAGGATTTTAAAATCCTTAATGTTTTATTTTTACCAAATATAAACTGTTTTTGTAAACATGTTCAAAGACGGTTAAGGTTTAAGGGCAGCATAATTTATAATACTTCTAATCAATCTTTGGGAGACCAAGCTGATCTAGTGATTAGAGCGCCGGTCTTCGATCCAAGGTTATGGGTTCAAATCCTGCCAAATCACCAATGCATTTTGTCTAAGTGATAATGCAGCAACCCCTAGGTCCAGCCTGAAGTAATCCGTGCCTAGCGTCTTAGGAAAAGAAAAATCATTCTGAGTACACCCATGGACTAAACACATACCATCGTGTGTGGAACAGTAGAAACTCGATAAGTCTTTCAAGTGGATCGTTAAAGACTTGTTATCAAGGTTGAAAATTGTTACAGAGGTTTGCAAAATGTGATAAGGGGAATATAAAATCAAGTGTATATGAAAATGACACTTGCCTTGTTATCTAGCGTCTCCTTACCGAGGTTCCATTGTATAATCAATGGTACACTCCACAAGACCAGTGGGCGCAAACGCCTTCGATTAGGAAGCAGTCTCAATCAGTGTCACTTGATGGCCCTCGCGCGTGCAGAGGCAGGCGGACGTAGTTTGCAGTGCAGGCAGGCATATATTTAGCACAATTGGGTGCCCTAGGCCTTGCTACGAGGGGCAGGCGTCGTGCATGTCAATGATGCTTTGTTTACTGCGACTCAAGACTCAGAGCCTCAGGCTATTGTTAGAGGGAAGCATTTCAAGAGTGTCTTTCACAATTGTCAGTGCTGATGGCATATACATTTGCAATCGTAATGGTTAATATAAGTATTGATTGTGTTACTAAAATATTAAAAAGTATTGACTTTAAAGAGTAATTAAGAAATAAACCTTGTTTTATTTCAATATTATTATGTAAAGAACAATACAATCATGCTTAACTTCTCGCCCAAAAATAAATCCTTCTAAGGGTTCTTAAATTTAAAATGGTCAAAATATTTTAAAAAATTACCGATACAAATTATTTTACCATCCTGATTTCCATCTCTTTCTCTTTAAACATAGTCACACGTTCCTAATGGACTATAGTTACTGAACTACATTCCTCATTTATTGTAAAAGCAGTAAATGAAAGCTGTAAAATATGCAAGTGATTTTCCTTTTTTGGAAAGATCAGGATTGCAGATTCTTACGGCTACAACCAACGTCTAACTCGTTTTGTCGTTTCTGCTCCTGTTTCTCACCATATAAATTGCCTTAAAAGTGACAACACACACACACACACAGACAAACAACCTAATATGTACAAAGCCATCTTAGTTAGTAAAATATTTGTTGACAGTAAAATTTTTTATTCAAAAAATATGGTGCAATAAATTATGGCTGTGCAATTATTTGGTTGGCTAACAATCCTACATCGCCTCCTTATTCAGTAATATTTTTTTAAACAACCAAAACTTTAATTACCTATTTGTTACCATTAGTTTTGTAAGTACAAAAGCATAATACCCTTATACAACTCTAAGATGTAACTAGAATTACTCGAATTTAAGCATAACGTTTTCCTGCAAATTTAACAAACAGTCAAGAATAATACAGATACTTAATTATTATTTAATTAATAATAATTAATTAATTAATTAATTAATTAATTTAATTAATTATTATTTAATTATTTAATTTAATTATTATTACGTAATTATTATTGTGTCTATTTTAGTGAAATAGCAAGGGTGACCTTGCTTACCCTTTCTTGTGCATCTATTAGGTCATCAGCTCTCGCTGGTGCTGGGTACATTGTTACTAACTCTAGCAATAGGTCTTCTGCTAGTGCCACCAGTAACACTGATGATTCTGTTGCAGGACCCGCCAGAGATGGAGACATCCAGTTGGAGACTGGCGCTGGTGCTGGTGTCCGTGTTATGGCTGACGCAGGCTTGTCCCAACCACTGCTCCTGCCGCTACGAGCAAGGGCTCTACGTGGCCAACTGCTCTACCTTGCCTCCAACTGGTGGCAAGATAGAGTCACTCACCCTTCTCCCGTCACGCAGCCCTCTAGAACTGATGGATGGCCAGTTCAACATGGCGCGACACCTCAAATATCTCAACATGAGAAACTGCTCCATCTACTACATTCACAAAAAGACCTTCTACGGAGCAAAGAGTGTGATTGAAGTAGACCTATCCTACAACCAGATTGAAGAGTTAGAGCCCACAGTGTTCCAACATCTCAGCAGCCTTACTACTCTCATCCTGAGAGGAAATCCGATCCAGTTTTTGCCTGAAGTGCCCTTTTTGATCTCCAATTCTCTTCAACATTTGGACATAGGCGATTGTAAACTAGAGCACATACCAAGAGTAGCGTTCTACGGGCTGAAGAGACTAAAATACCTATCTTTGGATAAGAATTTGCTGAAGTCTATTAAGTACAATTCTCTTCCAAAGGGTCTTAAGTATATTGACATTTCCAACAATCTCATAGTGAATTTTCCCACAGAAGTTATATCGTCTTTGACCAATCTGAGAAGACTGGGACTAGGAGGAAATCCAATCAATTGTTCTTGTTCTTTACTGAATTTGCAAGACTGGCTCTCTGGGCGAGGGGTGATATTTGAGGATGATGTGATCTGTTCGTTACCTTCGCAATACAAAGGGGTGAGTTGGAGCAAGGTGGATGAGAATTCTTTGTGCCTAGCTGAAGCGAGGAAGGAAGAGATGGACCATTATATTTATAGCCCTTTGTTCAAAAATAGATTGTTGAGAGAAAACTATTATGAAAATGAGAATGGGTACCAAGGAGAACCCATACAATCTGACCAACCTCAGCCTAACTCAAACTCAGATGCTGAAGTTTTGTTTCAGAACGATGATACATTAGCAATGGGTGAAATGATGAGGGACGAAGACGGAACATCAAGCATTACCGATAAGAAGGAGAACCAAGAAGAAACCAAAGTGGATGATGTTAAACTAGACGATGCAGACAGCAAAATTGAAGCTGCAGAACCAGCAAGTTACATTGAAAATCAAGAATCAACAGATGAAGGTAGTAAAACTGAGGATGACAAAGTTGTATCTGAGTCTCAAAGTGAAAATGTTCCTAACAAAGATGAAAAGGAAAGTGGTTCATCTCCAGAAACTGAAACTGATCTAGTTGCAGAAGAAACAGTTAATATGAATTATAGTAAACCAGTTGAGTTCAAAACACTGAGCGAAGATGAAAACAAAGAATCAGACGACTTGAAAAATGAAGGACTGATTCATGCAGAAATCAATTCTTTGCAGGAGACAAATTACACAGAAGAAGAATCAACTGTTTTGCCATACTTAGAAGATACAACGGAAGATGAAGTACCGTCCACAGAAGAAACACCGGGCCTTAGTAATACAGAGATAGAAGATAATGAAGAAGGGTCACTAAATGTTACCAGTACAACAGAAACAAACAATAGCACTAATGTAGAAGATCCTGCAATCCCAGACGATGACGTTGAAGACACCATCCCTCCTCCAACAACAATTCCTGATTTATATAGTGGAAATGATGAAACCAAAAGAAATTCAAGTGTAGTTGTAACTCCAGTGATTGAACCTGAAGAACCAACAACCACTAGTTCAGATACAAAAGAGATCTCAGCAATAACTGCATACGAGAATGGAAATATTAAACAAGTAGCTGGAGCAGAAGTTGTAATGTTCTGTGTTGGTGTTCTAATAGTTTGTTTGATCCTGTACTCTGTATACAGGTGCAGAAACTCAAAGAAAAGAAGAACAACGAGAATTGTAAAAGACAAACCGTCAAACCGCGACACTGAAATGCAAGACATGGCATCACTGTTGCCGAAACCACTGGAAGACGAAAAGAAAAACAATTCCAAATACCCTGACAAAGCACCGTCCAGTGAAACAGAGAAGCTCATTTCAAATGAAAATGAGAAAGAACTACCAACCATTATTCCGATTTCCGAAACCAAAGGCAAAAAGGAAGACAAAAACTCAATAAATAACAACACAGCTGACACAAGCGCTAGTCCGACAAGTAAAACTCCTTTGATCCAACAGGGAAAACCTATTACGATCAACCCAGCGGCTCCTATCCAGAGGACCAAGGCCAAAGTTGGGATACTTCCTGACTCCATACCACGGACTCCCATATTCCTACAAAAGACCTACAACGGCACAAAGAATGTTTAGGCGAATGTGATAACTGAAAATATTCCTTCAGTGTTTATATGTAATATTTATATATAAATGTAATTATGGACGTTAGGACAACACTTTCTAGCAGCTAAGCTAGTCAAGTAGAGCTAAGAATTGTTATTGACAGACCTTAATGAAAATGTTGGTTTGTTACCCGACACCAACACCAACTGAGCGGATTATTTCCTGCTCTTGACTGATTTATTTTGTTAATTAAATTAACCTTTGTAAATAGTTCATAGATGTAAATATTTATATGTTAAGCTGTATCTGAGGTTGTTATGAAGATTTAATAGTTTTATTACATTGTTGAAAACTGCTTAGAAAGCTATACATCTTTCTTTTAGTTTTTGTTCTGCTATTTTCACAAGACAAATTTACTGTAGGCTTCTATGTTATTTGTTCAATTTTAGTTTCAAATCTACAAAAGTGAGTTATTTTCTGGTAGATTTATATTTATAGTCATAATTGTTATATTTATCAACATCACACAAATTTTTGAGTCGTAATGAGGAATCCAAGATTTCTTTGTGGAGTGCAAATTACTTTACCAGCTTATTAAATGTTATTTTTTGTTAGTAGTTATTAATGTGGTGTTTATAAAATATATGAAACGTGATGATACTAAGTTGTACTTTACATTTTTCATGAAGCGCTTGACCAAATATATATCCAGATTGTTATGGAACTATTAAGCTATAACTGTTACTATTATAACCAACGTCAAAAAATTTGAAATATTTTTCACATTAAGTAAGTTATAGTTAATACTGAACTAAAACACAATGTTTTAAGTTATAACAATTTTAAATGCTTCAGCAAAATTTTACCTGTTCTGTTTATGATGAATGACATTTTTATAAACAAAATATGAATCAATAAAATAAATAAGATATAATTATGTTTACCTAAAATTATAACAAAATCAATTTGTTTTAACTTTGCATTTGATGGTTTTGAATTAATAATCTGTATTTACAAAAGATGAATAATTACTTGAGTTTAATTCTTAACAAAAGAAACATTTGTAATTGCAATTAATTAGTATGTTTATTTGTCAAGGAGTAAAAACTGTAACTACCAAAATGAGCTATTTCATGTTATTAATATTATCTTTCAAAGTAACTTATTATAACTTTTTTAAATTTAATATGGTAAAATAATACGTACAACCACTAACAATAAACCACAATGTTAATCACATTTTCCTTTGATCAAAATATGTAACAAGTTGTTGCACAAAAGACATATCACAAAAACACCTTATTTACTAAGTACGTACGTTGTTTTGTATATTTAAAATGTTGGCATATTTTTGTAAGTAATTTAAGCTTGATAATAAATTTATACTTAAATTTATAACTTTATTGTTGGTTTTCCTTTATACCTGGTGTTTTGTGAAGTACAACATTAATTAATAAAACAGAAAAAGCATTCTAAAACTGAAATGTTTTGTCATGGCACTCATTGCATTATTTGTGCTTGGTATTGCTCTATAAAGACAAAGAATCACCATGTTAAAGATATAAGAATCAAAATTAATAAATACATATGACGGGCACCACAATACAACAATACACAAGTTACATTCAAAGGAATTTTTTTAAGAGACGGATTTTAGCTCAATTACCCAAGAAAATTAGAATCCAGGAGCTATACAGCAAAAAGTCCCGGAACAGTAAATAAAAAATAAAAAAAATCAAGATAGAGCTACAAAACCTGGTACAAAGTTACTGCACATTAAAATCCTTTAAACACATTATTCAGTGATACGCTTACCCCTTAGAGGGATGGCCTGCTAGGAGTCTTAAATGTAAGCATAGGTTGATATGTAGGTCAAACTAAAGGCCTTTACTAGTAAAACACAATGACGCACATTTAAACTAAAATGGACTACCGAGTCAAAGATGGCAGCAATTAAAAGATTTCTCGAGTCTGCCATTTTGAATATTTCAACGGCTGTAATTTTTACTCCGTTGTTCTCTTGGGGTCAAATTTGCGGTGTTGTTTACTAAGGATCTTTAATTTGATGTTCATGTCGACCTATGCTTACATTTATTATTTTCTTCCGATTTAGTGGGCGCCTCTCTGAGGAGGTAGCGTATAATAATACCATTGCAAATCCAATAAATCTTTGAAGAGCTGTAATTTTTATTCGGTTGTCTGTTTGGAGTCGGGTTTGCGGCATTGTATTTTAATAACAAAAACTTTTAATTTGATGCACACATCAACATGTGCTTACATTTAAGATTTCCTTCTGACTCTTAACGGGCCTTCCCCCGAGGAAGTAGTGTATCACTGAATAATGAGTTAAAATGATATTAACTCTTTTTCTGTCCAGTAATTTTGTAGCAAAAGTTTTGTATCTCTATCTTTAAAACAGTAGATATGGATAAACAATTATGTATATAACTCATCTGAACGTAGATTTTTATTGTGACTGTGGAATACAAGTTTCACCACTAAAGAAGAAGTACATTATACACAAGATGGGATATTGACCAAGTCCTTCAGTAAAGATTCAACTCTCGCTTCAACATAGTTCCTGCAAACTGGTTGGTCAAGAATTGTTTCAGATTTAATTAATTGTCCTCTCTTGTTATAAATGTTACAGCAAGTTTTTCCAACTTGTTTTGCTGCTTTTTCAACGTCATCAGAATAAACCTCAAAATTCAAATTTGATTAGTTACACATTATAAAGTAGTCACTTCTAATTGTGCAGTAAGGAAAAGTGTTTCATCACTTATTTTATAAATTAATGCTTTTTAACCCCAGTCTTAAATAAAAAAAATCTGTTATCCCCAATATGATTTTTTTAAACCATAGACGTTCAGGATCTTTGCATGAATAATTAGTTTTCATTTTGATAGCCCCTGGACTACGTATATGACTTTATAGGCTTACCTCCGTCTGTCCAAAATTGTGTCCAACTTCAATAATTATTCAAAGCTGACATGTTCACAATGCAACATCATAGGAGCTTCACGTCAAAAAACATCAAATTTTACACGCAAGACGTTACATATATACGACACGGGCCACGGGACATTTAAACGCGAGACAACACGATAGACTGGCTACAACCGCCACGGGGCTGTGTCATGATAGCGCTATCATGTTGTCTTGTGTTTAAATGTCCCGTGTCGTGTATATGTAGGTCTTATGTGTAAATTTTAATGTTTTTGACAAAAAACTCCGGCAATGTTGCATTGAAACGTGCCAGCTTTGAATAATACAGTGATTGAAGTTTGGCACAATTTTGGACTAAAAAGACCTATAAAGCTTATATAGACAAGAATGATTGGTAATCTGTTTCATCAACATTCCAGTAATAAGAACAGCAGGGGGAGGTGAAACCTTTGAAAATTTGTAAACATCACATTTCTCATCGCATTAAATTGTAGCCAGTAAAGATTAATAATGAACATAAGTTGAATTGAGTCCACTGCCAAGATTCGAGTTCAAACTTTTTTTACCATACCAAACTAAAACGACAACTAACGGTAAACTGTAGAACCGTTTGTTTCACATCAACAACTATAACAGTTCATTAAAAACCCTGTCCCTATAATAAGAGATCGTAATAATCCGGTATTGGTCTAAAGGTCTAAGAAGGATTAAGTTTTATATTGTTTCTGGCATTTAGTGCATTCCACTGAGTTAGGTGTTTGCAGGCCTCATTATTTACCTTATTATTGACAGTAGGGAAAACAGAAATACATTTAAAAACAGCTGTTTTAAGAAGACGTTTGGAGTTTAGCACCATCAAGGTCAACGTACTGGATTAGCTAACGTTAACTACACAACAAAAACTAAGGATGAAATAGGATTTCAGACTGTACACTCTGTGACTGGCTCATCCAACAATGTTCTATTTTAATAAAATATTGACTACAGCTGGTTCGGGATATCTACTTCAGTATACAGTCAATGACTTACAGTTGCGGCAAACAAGGAAGGATGAGCATTGTTCATCTCCACATACATGTCCTGTTGGTGCAACATGTACTGTACGAACGTCTCTCTACCTCTGAGCATGTTCTGGTGGCTCTCGCTCGGCTCAACATCGTAGACGACACTGGGCTCGTAGGTCCACTCCCACTTGAACTCGTCACTTGTATCATCTGGAAAATGTTTAGTTCAGGTTGTGTTAACTTGATTCTGTATCATGAGGTAAAAAAAAGGTTTGGCTATAAAAAAACTGTAAAAAAGGTCATGGGGCTAAATAAATTTAAAATTGGGTCTCTTCCAAAACAAGATCCTGAATTATCACTAAAGTTGTTTTAGCACTAATTACACAACCATCTAAACCATACCTTGGTAATTTGTGGTAGCTCTCACATCAGATAAGTGCGACTGATTTGTAGTACGTTGCTGACTCGAAAGGTTTGTCTCTGAAACCTGTGAAGCAAAAATTCAATAAGTCAAAAAGTAAATGAGTTGATTCTCCAGTCATAAATTATCTGTTGGCCTGTGAATATTGCAAGCCTGGAGACAGAGATTAGTAGTACCCTATAGCCTACATAATATTTAAAGCCGGCTCCAGACATGCGCCATTCGCTAAGCACCGAGCAGCAACTCGCCGAATCATGAGTGTCGGTCGATAAGTGATTATCTATTTGGCAAGCAGCAAATGTTCGTGCTCGTGTTTTCCCGCTCATTGTCAGTATTTTTACAAACATCAAAGTGAACGAATATTTTTGCTGTACCCGAAACCAACAGTTGCTTGGAAAACAACACATGTGTTTAGACGTCTACTCTTTAATCGGCAAATTGCAAGACAGCTAGATCGCCAAACGTAAAATATTTTGTGCTTTGCGAATAGCGCATGTTTGGAGCCGGCTTAACTATCGCACTAGAAATTTAAAAGACTATACTTACTAGGACAGACTGGTAACTCAGATTTGAAGTAGGAAACTTTGTTGTAGATTCATCAGCTGTTTCAAATTGAACTGAAGATGTTTCATTTCCTTCAAGATCTTCAAATGAGTCTAGAAGATAGAATTAATTGATAATTAATAACTGACACACAACCTTCTAACTCAAAAAGGAGTCAGAAGATTATTGAAGCGATCTCAGTTGTTATAATAATATTGAAAGATGTCTTTAACTTTCTTGAACCTAATTTTCTGGAATCAGAATCTAAATAATGTCAAGGAACCTATATATACTGTATCATAATTAATCATATCATTAATTCACAATGAGAGTTTAATTGAAAAACATCTTTCTGTAATCTCTCTAATGAATTTTTCCATTTTAAAAATATATTATGATAAATGTACAAAAATTCTATAAGGGGCACTATGGTTTCATATGTTACTTCTCAGAAAAACTGCAGTCTATTTGGTTAGTGGCCTCTTTTAACCTTACATTTGCCCATCTACATAGGCAAGTAAGGGTAAAAGGAGAGTGTGTGGAACATATCATTCAGAGCAAGGGGTGAGCTGACAAGCGTACAAGGGTGGACTGTACTGATAAAAAGCAGTGGTAGGTATCAGAACTCTCCAAACCATTCCCTCCCCCTTTCCTAAACAATCCTCCAATCAGTTTTTTGAAACTTTTTTAGTTGTAAAAAATTTAATAAAGTACAATTTTATTAGTTGTTAGAGATAGCAAACTAAAATATTTTGAAATTTTTGGTAATGCAAGATTACTTGTTGTATAAAGAGAGGCTATTTCAAAGTTTTCAATTTTCATCACTGAATTTCTCACATAATATAGGGTAGTATACTAACCAACAAAACATTTATTTAAGGATGAGTTAAACCTGTTCCACAGATTTGATTCAGTGAAAAATGTGTTTAGTTTCTCCTTGTAACTATTCGTATCCTCTGCCACACACAAGACCAAGTGCGGACGACAAGCTGTGTGTCTCAGTACCAAAGCTCCTTCCAGTGTTGTTTCTATTATTCCTATTTTATTTTCAGCTATGCATTTGCTGAGCTCGTCGATACCTATAAAACATATACATGTTCTAACTAATAAAACTCAAAAGTTCTAAGGTTAAACAGAAAGCATTTAAAACCAGTCGTAAGGATTGCCACATCATGAACACTTGAGGAAGCCTCTGCACTGCTTGAAAATTTGAAAGTGGTTACATCTTGAAGTGTGGGCAGACTGAGGAGATCGCAGACCATTATCTACTGTTGGACTTTATAGAACCATCGACTATATACTGTAAATATATGACTATTTACCATGATATGGTATATAGTCAATGATAGACGATTATGATTTTGCTGCGATCACACAAAAAGATAACAATGTTTGAATGACATTAGGAGACGATCATAAAAAAAAGTTGTTAAAGTCTTAGATAAGCCAGCTACAATGTCTACACGACTGTGGGATATATTTAACGATCAACCGCATTCATGAAAAATGTTGATGATGTATCCGTGACTGCGGGAGACGATGATTATGTGTACACGACGAAGGAAAGGTTTTGGATTTTACCGTGATCACGGCTTCTGCCTTCTTTAATAACAATTCTCATTAATTGTGGTTTTTATTTTTTTTTATTCTTTCTGTTAGCGATTCGGATAGTTCTACTGAAGTTCTACTGTGTGTATATTTTATTGTGATGTGTTTTGTTTGCTATATCTCAAGTGGGCTTAAACTTAAAAAATTTGTATAATGCAAAAGTCTTAACTTACCCACTCCGAATAAACCTCCAATTTCTTTGTAGTAAAATAAAAGTTTACCATCCTTGATCAAATTATTAAAACAGTCCATTGAAACTGACATGTAATCATCATCGTTTTGTATAGGTATGTTTGTAATTTGTTTACATCTATAAAGCTGAAATGTAAAATATAGAACTTAATGTGTGTTGCTATACAGAAACTCGAATTAAAATTTGGTAGGGACTGAAAAAGTTTATAAGTATAGTTTTAAGGATTAAAGAGTTTAATCATAGACAATAGAATTAAATATAGACAGAAAGCAGTGCTGCGGTTAGCATATATTTTGGCGTCCACCGCTAGGAGTGCCGGGCAGTTTCGGTACACACCGCTGCAGCGTCAAGCGCTAGCGAGCATTGCCATGACAAGTTGGTATGTGGAGCCAGGGTTGCCAACTTCTGGAGAATTCCCGGAATCCGGGAAGTAGGAGTTTGTTCCGTTATTTCTCCATGTTTAAAACATTTCTGGGGATTTAAAAAAAATTGGCTCTTCTGTTAAAATTACGGGATTTCAGATTTTTTTTACTTTACCCATACGGTATTGAAAAGTGGGTCTGATATGTTGGTACCTAGCATTTTGTTTGCAAGGGTGGTAGTGCTGGTAGGAGACAGTGAGTCGGCGATGGCAGAGAACCGACGAACACTGAACACTGAGCACGCTTTAGCGGCACATCACGGAACCTTCCTTTGACAGTCTATATTTACTCTAACTGTAAATGGTTTAATACAGCAATAAAAAATGTTTTCAAACTAAAACAGCTTTTTAATTCCTTTTAGTACTAAATGAAACTGACTATAAGAAATGTTCTTAACACATGGTTGACTGCTATGGGCTTAAATAATACTAAGCAAAAAGTTGATGGTAAAAATTGAACAAAATTGACCTTAACAAAATCAGAACAAACAGTTTCTTACATCATACCAACCTGGTCTGGAAATTTCATTTCTAAACTCTTTGCAATATCTTTTTTGTTGCTTCCAAATGTTCCAACCAAAGCAACCAAGGAAATTGGCGGGTCATTATACGGAGTCGTGGTTATATCTACTGTTTGTGTCGCTAACTGATTCCATAGTTCTAATTTAGCACGTAAATGAGTTTTTCTTGTAAATACATCTGGTTCCCAAAGCATTCTTGAAGCTACCTAGACAAGAAAACAAAAACCAAAATATTTCAATAGGCCTTCTTTTGTTTATTTACCAGGTATCAAAAAGTGTAGATATTCTAGGACCATTGTATAACTTAAAGAGTCTAAGGGAATCAAAACACTCACTCTCTCTTGGAAATTAACAGGAACAGAATCAAGTACTTCTAAGGAAGACAGTTTAAATATCAGGAACTCCCTGTATCCCTGTCTTGCACATACACCATTGCCTCTCATCTTTATCTCTCTGAGCTTCTTCAATCCATCAAGTTTATATATTTCATTAAAGTCTTTTATCTTATTCTCACTGACATTCAGGCTCTTTAAAGACTTTAAGTTCTGAAAAAAATCATTAGTTTAGTCTTAGGCAGGGTTATTTCCTTATAGTTAAATTACTCAAATTAGTATCAAGTGAAATTCAAGGGCTACAGATGAAAAGATTGTTAAGACATAGGATTTTTAACAGTAAAGGTCCAGTTGGAAATCCGTCTGACAAAGGATTATTTCCAACAGGATTACTCATCGATGTTGATAAAGAGTTATTGAATCAAAGGAAGTTATTTTTGCCATGAAACCACCTTTTGGTCATCCTCTGAAAAACTTGATCTTGAATAAAACATTTAGATAAGTTATTGGGCGGTAGGAAAATATAAAACCGTCTTTGATTTTCCTAACATGAGAGTGATTGGTGGAAACATAGGAGTTAGAATAAAAAAAACATCATAAAAAGGACTTAATGTTAAAAGGAGATGCTCTACAGCAGAAGAGTTTTTACTTAGGGGACGGGGAAGAAAGGAACACAGGAAAGCACCCGAATTGTTTTATATCAGCACACCAGAGAGATTGAAAATGGTAAATTTAAAGTAATGTCCGTGGAGTTATTAAGAATTCGGTAATGTATATTCATTCCAGTAAAATATTATTTTGTATTTGAAACTTAAGTCTATGTAGCTGAATATTTGGTAGTCGAAAAACATGATGTATAATTAATTCAATTATACCTCCAAATTATGTAATGATGTCAAATTGTTGTGAGCCAGATCGAGTTCTCTCAGATTTTCCAAACTTCCCATACATTTGTCTTCATTGTCAATATCTGTTATTCTGTTATAAGACAGGTTTAGCTCTTGCAGACTGGGGCAGTGGAGATTTTCCACTTGTTGAATGTAGTTGTGGGATAGGTTGAGGTGCTTCAAGTATCTAAAACATTATCTAGTTCGTAGGGTGCAGCATCAAGATAACATATTTACAAAATTCCAACTCTTAAAACACAATAACAAATCTACAGCTTAAGTTTTATATTTTCATTTTTCAATAATTTTATAGTAAACTCAGACACTTACAGTTGATGTCTTTAAATTATTTTAACTCCTAGACTTTACAAATTGGATTCGTTGACTTTTAAAAATTTCATGATGAATGATTAACTTTTTAACCCCCAATTCTGTTATGTGAGTAACAAATCCTTCAATTACAGCTTTGTAGACCAAGATAGCTCAACGAAAATGGCTAAAAACTTTGCCTGACATAATGTGCTGCACCAGGAAACCATAACCAATCCTGGTGGCTCAGAAGAAGGCTGTCAGGAAAATTTCTGGCTTTGCCCCCTCAGAAATTTGTAGAGAAGCCTTCAATCCCTCAAGATTTTAACAATTCCATCACTCTTATGTCCAAGAACTAGCAATTTACACAAATAAGCAAAATCTTTCTAGGAATCAGGATTTCCAAAGTACCACCATACCAGAGGTTGAGAGACTGCTGTCTTCACATCCACCACACTACACAATTCAGTAAGAAAACATTGATTCTAAATCCCCCCCCCACTACACATGGAAAAAAATGAAAAATGAACTTGAAAAATAAAAAATCAAGGACTTTTTAACCTAAGAAGATAATGGAAAACACAAAAACTAAGCTAAACAATTTTTGTAAAGCAAGAAGATTTTATAGTTTTGAATTTTTATGCTAATGCATTTCTTGAATGAATTACTAATAAAGATATTTGTCTATTGTCTATTGTGTGTAAAAAACGTCACTACATGTGTAATTGGATCAACTAATATCCACTGGTGATCAAAGGGATCTCACCTCAAGCCCTCTAGTCCTTCAATTTTCTCAATTAAATTATATGAAAGATCAAGATGTTTCAGAGACCAAAAGGCAGCAATATTTCCCGTTCCGATTTCCTTAATCTCATTACAGCAAAGATTTACATGAGTTAAGAACCAAGGGGGTTGAAAATCCAGCACTTTCTTGATCTTGTTGTGAGATGCATTCAGATACATAAGATAGTTACAATGATTTAATCCGTTGAGGTCACTGATTAAATTATGAGACATGTCAATGTAGAGAAAGTATCTGCAGTTTGACATGACAGATATGTCTTCTAGGTCCTGAAACAGCATTAAAAATGTAGAGGAAGTTGTTAAAATTCCGTTAAGTACCGATACATAAGTGATTCTGTAACCAAATTTGGATATTCCAATTGTGGATGGGCAGAATGAGGTTAAATACAGGTAGGTATCTCAGTCATTTTAAAAATCTAAGCTTAATTTTTTTAGAGTTTATTTTTTTAACATGAAGTATGTTTAGGTTTACAGAGGAAAATATCTTCCATAGGAATAAATTTTTTTACTCTTGCTATCAAAGTAAGCAAAAATCCGTATTTAGTTTATTTTAAATTGATTTATGAAATGTAACTGTTGAATGGTGAATATTTAAATGGCGGAATGTATCTTTATTTGTCATATTACTAAGGTGCAATTACAAGTTATCAAGTGTTGGAAATAATATTGATTTTTCTTTTTCTACTTTTTGATGGCTACTGAAATGTATACTAATAATAACATATTATAGTAATATAATTTTTTATTGATGTGTAAAGAAAGTTCCATTCAACTTTAAGGAAGAAAGTGCAGGATCAGTAGTTATCATATTTACCATTTTATCTATATGAAGTCTGGAGAAAACAAATGCTTTGTTGTCAGGAAGTTGAATAAGATTGCTTGAGCGCTTAGAAATCTCCTCAAGTGTTAAAATACCATATCGTAAAGCACCATTTTCATCAGCAAATTGTGAATACAAATTTTCATTCCAAGGATCTGAATCCGAAGCATACTTAATCCATCCTTCTGGGTCTAAATTTGTTTTGTCTCCAAAATACTTTTGACCCATCGGCTGATATTCTTCATCAACATTTTCTTCTTTGTTGGAGATCTGCTCTATGGAATCATGTGAATCGTCCTCAACCTGTTAAAATTGACTGAAAAGGCTGAATTTGCAATTAGACGGATACATTTTGCAACATAATGAAATAAACATCCCATATTTAAGGTAAGACATGTGAAGGATGAGTATTTTGAATAATTGAGATGATGGCTTTGTTACTGACCAATATCAGCTGTTTCTTTAACGAGGACCATTTTATTAAATGCCCAACAATCAAGGACAATCAAACGAATAAGAGAGAAATAGCAACAAGAGGATACACATACAACTTTGGTTAATTTAAAAACTAATAAACATGGTTTTTATTTTGTAATTTTTAAATTAATAACATATTTTGGTTAAAAATTGAATTTTTTTAAAAACAAATTTTCCATCTTGTGGAGGCTAAAGAAGGCTGGTACAATTGAATACCTATTAAAAATTGTCATACATTTTATTGCAGGGTAGTAATGGAACTTTAACAAAGCTGTTTCAATTCATTTAGATGATAATCAACTGTAGTCAGACAAGACTGAGAAGGCACTTCGCAGATTGGTAAACGCTCTACTATTATCGAAGTAATGTTACATCGATGGTTAGCTGCGAGTTGTGGAAGGCAAAGTTTCAGGTAGCTGTCGATTAGGAGGCAATGTCAGCGTTAAACTGTGTTATGTTCCGCCATAATTAATCTTTCCTCAACCACACAAAGGACACAAGTGCCTTCTCAGGCTAGTCTGACTACAGATTTCAAGTACCTACCAAAGGCAATTCTTAGATAACCAAGTGCACATGTTGAAATTTAAGTAAGATGGTTTAAAAAAACATAATCTTTGATAAATGCTTACATCTGTTGTATCTTCATCCTCTTCCGATGTTAGGGACAGTTTGAGAAAGTTCCCAAGCGAGGGAGAAACATCTCGAGTACGAGACACTCTCTGTTGACTTTGGGTGTCAGAAACATCCAAAGTGCAACTTGGAAGCCCACTCGAACTGTCAAAGCTCTGATCTTCTTCATCCGACAGTAAACAGGTTTTGAAATTTTTCGAAACTTCTGGATAGTTACAGTATTGCTGCACACCAAAGAAATCACTTTCTGAACCAGTTCTGATCATTTTTGGTTATAAATATAGGAACATTTTAAGTATTTGTTTTGTTTGTTTAAAAACATGTGATTTTAATTTTGCAAATAAAGATTGAAAACATTACTGTTCAATTTGGATACTGAAGTAGACATCAGGAGTCTATGTGGACCAGCTGTAGCAACTTTTTATTTAAATAGAAAACAGTTGAATGAGCTACCCCCAGAGTGCGCCTTTGTCAAAACTTTATTTCCTACTTTAGCTTTTGGTACTATTATAGACTAACCAACACAAATAGTCTTCTCATCTTATTTTACATTTTGAAGCTCGTTTTTCGTATCTAGTTCAAGTTGGAGACACTTATCGCTACTGTTGATAAAATGTTTCTATTACTTTAGGGTTAATTTAATGATTTGCGCTTTACTGTTAGGTTGCATAACTAGGGGAAGAGTTATTGTTTATGATTAGATAGTTTTATTTGTTAAATGATGTTTTAAATCACTGAAATATCAAGAACAAATTGTAAACCACAACCTCTACAGTGCACCGGATGGAACTAATTGTCTTCAGCTGATCCATAAGGGAAATCTACAAAGGGAGTTTGTTTTATGTGGTACCATGAAATTTGATGTAACGGGTGCTATAGTTCACAATAAGCTATCCTTACAATAATTTAGCTTGTCTAATTAACTTGATCGATATTATTTCTTCAAAGTTAAGTAGATGGAAAAGTTACACCATCTTAGTGATATAGTAACAGTGACTTGTTTCGCCATTAACCTTTGTGATGAAATAGGTTACCATCAATCCATTCACAAATAATAGATTAATTATTTACAATTATATACAATACACATTTTCAGCCAAGATTTAAAAGCTGACACACGGTCAATGTATAATTTTGGCCCAAAGTATGAAAATCTTCTCCAAGCTACTTCTAATATCACTTTCGAGAAGTGAAGATGTTGAAATTATTATAGGAAAAATTGCATTTTTTTAAGTGTACTTAATTTATGGGTCGGGATATTATCATTTAGTTGTTATGTTAGATACAAAATTGAGCGTATAATCATAGACAAAAAGAAATAAATATTTATCTTGGTAACCTCTGTTTAAAAATTATCATTGAAAAATGAGATTTTACAAAATAACGTGTAAAAAGTGCTACATTGTTTTGAAACACATTCATACATTTTTTAATAACAAAACAAACGTGTTCATCAGGATTTGTTGAGAGGATAGCAGGCTTTACCAGCCTTCTTGTGCTCTATGCTACACCCTTAAACGTGTTCATCAATCGTTTATTGATTTAAAATTAAAACATTTTGAGCACTAATGTGGCATTGTAGCATTTAACAGCTGTCGTAGTTCTTCATGAATTGGTTTTTTGTCACTATATTACTCATTGATAGTTATGGCTACTTCGTTCAGGACCAGAAAGCTATCTTTAGACAAATTTACCTGAAACAAGTTTTATTTTAAGTTAACTTAGTAACAGTTAAGTAAATTAAGTGTTCTTATTTTGTCAGAGTTACAATATTTTAGGATTGAATGATTATGAAACCTTAAAAAAATTGTTTTGCATGATTTCCATACTAATCCAAATAAAATTTCAATTATACCTCTCGGAAAATCCCAAAAGTAAGCTTAACTGGGCACACAAAGGCAAATTACATGAAACAATTGAGCAGCTACTTACTACAAATAAAAATGAAATAAGCAGTGTCAGCAAACTAACACCAATGAATAAAAAACCCTTTAAGATGTGAAATTCTTAAAAAGAATAGTTAGACTGGAATTTTACCACTTGAATTGAGCTTCGTGCGGCCGTGCTACTATATCTCTCTCAAAGCAGAGCCTTGTCTCACTCTCTCACTCAGTCAGCTGACTTGGCCGCACCCGCGATAGTCTACCTAGCGATCGCCGAGGGAACTATCCAAAATTCAAATGTTCCCAGACTGAATTTTTAACAAAGGCATTGTGCTTCTTAAAGGGTTTGTATTCATTGCAAACACATACTGGGTTTGTATTCATTGCAAACACATACTTTCTCCCATTATCCTGAAAAAAATGTAACATCCTACAGTTAAGGGGAGTGACTGTGATTTTTTAAGGAGAAAATTACAAAAATTGCATTAAACTTTGAACCATTAACTTTACAGTTGGTTCTGCAAGTTTGTTCAGGCTTAAGAGAACAATAACACAGTAAATTTTTATCAAAATCGTTATAGCCGTTTTTGTGTAAATCCCATTTTCTGTTATTTTATGGTTCTTGAATAAAAAACACCTATTAACAATCAACTTTTCAAAAAACGCCTAGATAGATACTATGGATTAGACCCCACATACCAAATTTCATCAAAATGAGAAAAGTTTTGTTCAAGCCCCCAGTAATATTTTAAATAACAAACTCACTATCATTAAAAATGAACTTAAAAAAAAGGACCGTGCTTTCCGTTTGGAATAATAAATACTTAAGTCATTTAAACAATGCTTAAACATCCACCATTTTGTAATGGAAAGAGACACAAAACTTTAGTTTCACTTTTCTAGCTGACTTTTTAGAAGTGTAAAAAAGAGTGTGGCTCAGAGTGGTTATACAGAGTGAAAAATACAAATTATACTAATATTGCAAAATAAATAAACCTTGTGATTGTAAGAGTCGGATATATTCAGTAAAAACTGTTTTTCTCTCTTCTTCTGTAATGCCATTGGAGCCACCTATAAAGTATGAGTTTATAGTGAATATAGGAATAACTATATCTTCATATGCTCCGAGGGTTTTTCAACTAGGATATGCATTGCACAACGTCCAATGATATAAGTCAGGGTCACGATGTCCAAAATATAAATTTTGAGCTGTTTCACGTACAATATAAAATTAAAGTAGCAGTTGCACCACGTCCAAAGATAGTTGCACGATGTCCAATAGCACAGCGCTGTACCTCTACGTCCAGTGTGCCTGCACACTGTGAGTACTGTTTCACTGTCTGTAATAAATACTAACCTAACCTAACTTAGCCTAATATAACCTTGCTCCGTATGCAGGAGCTCTGGACGTAGTGCAACAGCGCTGAGCTATTGGACACTGTGCAACTGGCAGCGGCTTTAGACACTACTGTTAAGTTTTTAAGAGTATAAAGTGCCCTGTTGCACGCCGACCCATCCCATGACGTTGAAAGCTTGTAGAAAGACTATGTTTCTTGCAGTGACTGTACTTTTGGACATCGTGAAACAGCTCAAAAACTATATTTTGAACGTCTTGACACTGACTTATATCATTGGACTTAGTGACATTTGGACGTTGTGCAACTCTCCCTCCAATCCAACTATGTATAGGTATTACAAGTGGACTTTTTATTATTTTTATATGTTCACTCACAGTAATAATGTGTTGATTTTATAAATATGTTGGTTTTTTAAGCAATTCTTTAATTAAAGCAAAACAAAGAAACTAAACTACATCGGAGAGAACAACGATTAAATAAAATATTTTCAACAAAAAAGTTATGTATCCAACAAAAGTAGGAATTTAAGGGTCCAACATTCAAAGAGGAGATACATTTTGTAAATAATTTTAATGTCTTATGACTTTCGTACACATATATATTATTTCTAACAGTACAATTCTTATTGTTTCATAATTCATTCACTAAATACGTTGACTCATACACCACAAAACACAAATCTCTTTTAAGTTACAACTAGCACTGTTCTTTGGTCATACAGTATTTTTAAATTACTGCCATTACACCACTTTAATTGCAAAGCACTGATATGCTAAGATTTATTAAATTAAAGCTAACCACATTCACTTCTAGCTTTGGCAACAATAAAACAAATGAATCAGTAATTAATCAATTAAAAGCTTTGGGTAGAAATATTTTTATGAAGTTGAACTTCATAGGTCAAAAAGATTGTTCAAAACTTTTGAGAACATATAAAAGAAGAAAGCTGAATGATTAAAGTCAAGTGTTGAAGAGATAAAACTGTAGAAATTTGAATAAAATATTTTGAAAGGCATTGAAAATATTGATAGTAGATTATTTAAGACAGAGAGTGGAAGAAAGATAGAATTGTGAGAAGTACTTAATTATTTAAAATATAGCACACAAGGGGGTTATAGCTTGAAGGGGAGAATAGCATCCACTAAAGCTGCTTTTAGCAAAACAAAAATATGGCAAATAAGCTAAACCAAAAAGATAAAAATTAATATTACTTGATCTAAAATGGTACAGATCAAATGCCAATACTAAAATAGGTTTAGATTACCTGTTTGCTGTCAAAATGATCCTTGTAGTACGACGATTACAGCTGTTTCGTACTTTCTTTAAAAAACAGGAAACAGCTGTAGTCATCGTACTACCATTAAGTATTGTTTTGACAGCAAACAGGTAATCTAAACCTGTATTAATTCATTCAGACGATCCAGAGGCCATTCCATCATGAAAAAGCCAATAAATCAAATAGGTTAGGACCTATACGTAAAATATCCACAGTGATGTTGGCGTATATCTGGATAATGTTAAAATTATTACCAATTTACAGTAATGATAAGCCCTTCGATTCAATTGAACTGTTATCCTCTGATAAGTTAGTGTTAAGAAATGCGTCTAAGATTGTAAAAAGCCTAAAGTTAAGAGCGACTGTTGACGATTTGAGCGGCAGTTTGTTGTACGGTGTCTGCGACTGTCTCCTCCGAGTCAGGGCCAGAACTGTGCTGGGGATAGCTTGATCGAGGGCCTGGAAACCAAACTCACCTCCATTTACGATCTTAACAATTTGGTTAGCAGAATTTACTCAATATATGTATATTTGTTTAATGTTATAGTATTTTTAAACATTTAATATTCTAGGATAAATTAAGTCTCAGTTTATAACAATTTGTTATGCTTAAAACATTGCCTGAAGTGATGGAAACCAAGTTTAAAAGCCTCGGAAAAATACTTACAACTTATTTTAAAACATTTGTTTTGAATACTTTCAAAAAATTTCTTCTTGAAAGCCCCCAAAGAGGGGTAAAACATTAAATTAATTGTGTGCTTTAAGTTGCCTGCAAAACCTGCACGTCTTTTGTTTTATGGAAGATAGTTGTGTATCCATTTCTTCTGTACTAATGGAAAAACTAAAGATCAGTCCAACAACTTTTCAATCTGTTCTGTCTTTGTTCCCAAGCCAAGTACTATTCCTTATAAAAACTACGCCTGGTTAATTTTATACCTAGTGTCAGCCTAGGTCTCCATTTCAACAAACCTAACAGTGTTTGAAATTGTACAATTTCAAAATAGATTTGAGATGTAAATGGGCTTTACAATATGCACACAGGAGAAATTGATAAATTTAATCAAAACCATTCTTTTAAAATAGAGAGTATAGTCGTCACCGCATCAAGATCTGTTTTCATCATAGTGGGTAAATAACCTTCTAATCGTTCCAAAATTAGACCACATAATTTTAGGTCATACAAAGTCATCATAAATGTTTAAATTTCTGTTTGCAAATATATCTTTAGATATCCTGTGATTAGTAGAGGTTTCATAATGCACTGAAACAATTTTTAGGTTAGCAAACCGAAAATGTACAATAACTTTTTTGTTTCCTATTTTAAGTTACCCCAAAATGATGATTTTGCTGTCAATTCAGAGAATTAAAAATGGCTGCTTTCCGGACAGTATGATGAAAATATATTTTTTAAATAAAAATATTGTAAACAATAGGCCTAATGTACATAAAAATTTTCCGTGGTTGGGAAAAAATCAGGAACATCTCTCGTGGTCGTGGCAAAATCATGGGTTATTACTGTGGTTGTGGTAAAATCATGAATTTTTGACCATGCAATCATTGAACATGTGCTGCAATCTAAAATCAAGCAGCTTACACTTTTGTAATATATATATGAGACGACCAGAGCTTAGCCCAAAAATTATTTCTGGTTACAACAAAAATTATTTCTGGTTACACTTGGACGTTGACTGTTAGTCATTTCTGGTTACACTTGGACGTTGACTGTTAGTCAACTTTTTTTTCCTTCTTTTTTTTAAATTGTGTATACAGGCAATTTTAATTTAGTGATGAGTATCCAACAAAACAAGAAAAACATTGTTAATCAACTGCTAGCCTGTTCCAAATTTTGGGAACCTGCAGACCCCTAGTAGTATCCTGCCTAAAATTCATAATGTGGCTCTAATTGAAAAAGTCTTATTTCGGCACATCAACAAACTTAGGCCTTATTGATTTTTATAAAATATATCGAATCTGAACCAATCCTAAAAATATTTCAAACAAACGAATGAAAAAGGGGAAGTATTCCTTATAGTGTTATTCTTAGGTTGTCGAAAAAACATACCGGAATGAATTATTCCTTATAGCTCAGCATTAGGTGGGCTGAATTAATTTTAGAAAATACAAATAAATTTGATTCAAGGAGACTTTACTTTTTTATATTTTTTGTAAAATAAATATATAGACCTAGTGTACAGAGTAAGGCATAGATAAACATTTACAAAAACTTGAAAGTTTAATTGATCCAAAATTGATCAACTTATACACATTTGGTTGATAATTTAGGACATCACATCTTTTTAGTTTTACAATGTTACTTTTAGACATTTTTAACATAGAGAGTCAAAATTAAATCAACAAAATTACACATGCATTGGAACTGGAATAAGGAGCAGCTACATAAATAATAACAGTGATTGAATTATACAGTTTATTAACAACTTCATATAAATTTCTGTCAAACTACCAGCAGCTTATGAAAATGAAATGCAATTAACAGAGGATACATAACAAAATAAAACAAATTGAACAATACACTTCCCTAACAACATAATTATTACTCAATCAGAACCTCTCCCGCAATGGCACAGGGCCGATAACAGACTTTGATATCAGGAGTGAATAACAAAGGAATTTCAGTTCACTGTTTCACTGTAGGCACTGATAACTGACTGCTACTTACACAACTACGAGAATAGTGTTTAAATTACTTCTTACTTTTAAGTTTATTACTGAGGTCGTCGAAAGCGGGATCACTGATGTTCAGCATGAGGGCGGAACCACTGAGGTATACCTTGTTCTGAGAGTTGGCGATCTGTAAACAAAACCTTATGTTGATGGATCCATTCAATATGTTCTCCTATCTGACTTGATTGCTTAGCGTACAGAGAAACAGCGAGGCACTTAATAGACTCAATAGTCAATATTGAATACTATATCACAATAGTGAAGTCATGTGTAGCCTTGTTACTGACTAAGCACCGCCTTCTTCTACACAAACAATGTGATAAAATAAAAGAGGTTGAGTCAGCCGTCAAAACAATAAAACTCTTGCACAGCCCTGCTGTTAAACAAACTAAATTTTAAGTGTTAAATGTGTAGTAATCTACACAATACAGTTATTTGTGAAACTAGTGGGCAAAGGCAGTTTGCACTCGTGTTACACATTATATTTGTCGTACAGTTACTATAAATCATATAATTAATTAGTCTTTCAAACATTGTAAAACACGTTTTTAGGTTAGGTTAAATCCAAACATGGAACGAAATGGGAAACGCTGCACCAGGTGATCATAGTCTTATCTTTTAGTGTTGCTAACTTATTTTCAAGCGTACACGGATTACGTGCATAATAAAAGCACGCTGTTTTGTGTTGTTTGATTGGAATACTGGTGTACATCAAAGTAAAAACTGTGTGCCAAAGTAACGCTTTCTGTACTATAATCTGTGCAAAGAAGCCCACTTTGTCAGGTTACTGTAGGAAAATAGTTATTTGTGTAACTAGTGAGCAAAGTGGCACTTTGCTGCACACGAGAGCAACGTTTACTTTGGAATGATCTCGAGTGCAGCAAACGCCTTTTGCACTCATGTTACACATTATATTTTTCCTACAGTCACTATAAAGCATATAAATAATTAGCCTTTCAAACACTATACAACACGTTTTTAGGTTCAGCTGGCAACACAAATAGGTGCCCTAGAGAAAGTAGTCGCCGGTCCGTATCACTCCGCTATTTTTTCCTCGGCAAGCAATGTGCTCCACGACTTGAGAAAATAGTTCCGTATGTTTTTGTAATTTGAAGTGGTTTCCGCGCCTAGAAAAAATGCTTTAAAGGTATTTTCTTGTTCATTAACATCGTAGGAATGTTTTAAAAATGTTTAAAAGAAAAGTTCAGAAATACCGAAACTATAAACAAGAAATGACATGTTAAATCGTAGTTATAATAGTCAATCAGCTGTTCATAGTATTATTATCTTTAAGTGTTGCCAACCTATTTCCAAGCGTACACGGATTACCTGCATAATAGAACCAAGCTGTTTTGTGTTGTTTCGCTGGAATCCTGATGTGCGCCAAAGTATAAACCATACTACAAAGTATAAACTGTACGACAAAATATAAATATGCAGCAATTAGCAGCTTTCTGTACTATAAACAGTACAAGGAAGCCAACTTTGTAGGGTGACTGTAGGAAAAATATATTTTATTCCTACAGGAGTTAAAAATATAGCCACTGCCCTAGTGTAAGAAGTGTTATAAAAAATTAACAACCTAAACAGTATTAAAATTAACATAAAACCAAAAAATATGGAAATTGTTAAGTTTAAAACACTGAACATTTCATATTCAAGAACAAATTAAAAGTTGTATAATTTGTAATCCATATTCTGATTACTTACAGTTCGTGCGATGCTCTGGGCAGCTCTGATCTTTCGCAGCTTGAGATAACCAGGATTCATGCCGACTGCCTGACCCAAGTGCATAGCAGTTAAGGGAAACTTAAATGTTTAAATACATTGTCTTAGCTGACAACATACAAGAATACAAGAACCGTCGAAGAAAAGAGGTTTTATTTTAACAACAAAATATAATTACATTTTCTTTTGGGACTTGAATGAACAAGTCAACTTACATGGATAATGTAAAACTTTAATTTAGTTAATTGAACTACAGTTTTGCTGCCAAATAGGTAAGTTAGCCTACCGAATATACATCCCATAAACTTCTGCTCTAAGATAGGATAGTTAGGCTCAACTAAAAAAAACACAGCTCTCCTTCCACCACAATTTATTACCTATTACAGTTCATCCTCAAGACTATTCTCCTTCTGCTAAATGCTAATACCATGGTAAATTAGAACATGATCCACCTCAAACTGTAGGTTGTAGGTATATCCTTTTAAGTAAGAGTGGGAACTTTTTTGGGCTGGAATTTTCTCTTTAGTATAATATATTTTTGTAAAAAAATACAACCGACTTCAAACGCTCTAAAAAGAATGAAATAATTCCAATAAAGTACACTTTTGTATTAGGCAAGCTCACGTATTTTAAGTCGGCGCGGCTCTATGATGATTTTTGATACAAAATTGAAAGAGGGTGTCCATATTGCAGGTGACTATCTATAACTAAAGGTGTTAATCTGCATGTCTTTTTCATAGTTATGCGTTAAGTGTTATTTTATTACCGTAATCAGAGATCGGCATTATAGTGGTATTAACGAGTATCTTTGAAAAGATTATAACGCATTTAAATGTTTCTAACTTGGAAAAGTAACGTTTTAATACTAAACTAGCTTCTTTTCCCTACATAATATCAAACTAAATTATTTTCCTATTCATATAGAACATTTGTGCGTGTTATTTTTATAATGCATTTATTCTGAAGTAAACATAAAATACAAGAAATTATTTCCTAATATATAAACAAAACAGTTCATTGTGTTTTTATATATTTATGTTATCCAGCTACAAAAATAAATTATTTCATGATTTTTAGTGACTGTATAATTTTTTATATATTAATTACTTGAGGATTTTTGATAAGCAAAACTGTTTGAAACAATCAAAAGTTCCACATAACAATCATTATTTTGAAACTGCTTGAGTCACCTGTTCAGGTTACATAATCAATGGGTATGAAAATAAACATCTTTAGATATTCCTTAAGAAAGAAAGAGTTTTGTCCATTACATTAGGCCTAATGAAAAACTAATAGTCTTCTATAGATACATTGAAATGTCAGACATCATCGTTTCCTGCAATCGGTGTACTTCTACATTATAAAAAGAAATACAGTAACGTCTCAAGCCTTTTGGAGCAATATGAAAGTTATTCCTCAGCTACCAGCACTAAAAAATCTCTCAAAAGTGGAAAATTGGTCGTTAACACCATAGTACCTTTCGTATAGTACCTTTGAAAAATATGTATTATATGAAAGATTGGTTCAGCTAAAAGTGGTGTAAGTCATGTAGGGGGTTTTGTTTGCTCAAGATATAGCCTAGTCGAAATTGCAAATCATCTTCCTCTAGGACTTTCCGAAGGAGGCATAATAGTATTGATATGTTATAGTAACTGGGTAGAGAATATTAATAAGCATTCCATATCTGCAAATGAAATATGTATATGAAAGATTGGTTCAGCTAAAAGTGGTGCAAGCCATGTAGGTGGTTTTGTTTGATCAAGATATAGTCGAAATTGCAAATCATCTTCCTCTAGGACTTTCCGAAGCAGGCATAATAGTATTGATATGATATAGTAACTGGGTAGATAATATCAATAAACATTCCACATCTGCAAATGCATGTTTAGTAATTAAAATATTTAACACTTTTAAGACAATTGACGATTATGCACTGTCATACTTCTTAGGTCGTGTAAGGAATAATTGTATTTGATTTATATTAAGACCTGTTTTACGAATGCTTTGGTTTTCACAATACACCTTTATTTGTCAATATCATACAGCTATTCACTGAAACATATATGTTTTTGTAAGTCAGAATATTCAATACTAAAAACAGAATTACTGTATACTAGGGGTGTGCGAATAGTGATTTTCAACCTCAAGCCGAGCCGAGCCGAGCTTTTTAAAAAATGTTCGAGCTCGAGCTTTTTCGAGCCGAGCTTTTCCTGTAACCTTGTCTTAATTATTAAACTTTTTTTTCTTAAAAAAGTGCATAATAATAATAATGTTCAGTCAATTTTTAAATTAACACAATGTTATTTTAATATGTTTAAAAACATTGAGAATTGTCAAGACATCAAAATAGTAGATAATCACAATAAGAACTGAACTAAACTAAATGAAGATGCAAGAAATAAAAGGATAATTGAATGCCTGATATGCAGTGCAGACTGAGACAATCAGATTGTCTTTCATAACAGAACAGCAACGCGACCTTGAATGACGACAAAACAACTAGCAAGTCGATTACATATGTATATTGTAACTACTATGAATATTTAATTCTATTTTGTATAAATAAATACAAAATAAATTTAAAAACACGTGATTATTCTTGTTGTTTTCCATGCACAAAATATTTTAGTTTTATGAATCCTATTAATAAAAAAAGAACATGGTTGGTTTGGATCCAAAAAGGTGGAGGGACAAGTTTTACTTATATATTAAAAAATATATAATTGACATATAGAGGAAATAGACCAAAGCACTAGAATTAATAGAATAACACACAAAGTAAACAAGAAATGAAATGCAGAACACGATGATTTAACACTGTCACTCAATTTTGTTATCTAGAAGGGTCGGCGAACTAATCAATAAATAGCCAAAACCAGATTCCTCCCCTTCACACAGTCTCACCGCCCCCCTCCCCCCCCAATCCGGGTGGCCCAACACTTTGTCCTTGAAACACCCTTGCGTCTGAAACAATAAACCCTTACACCCACACCCTCGTTGCTGTTTTGACAACAGGTTTATGAATGCGATTACTATTTTTCATTTCCAGAATTAACTATCAATTATTATTATTTGCAAGATACAAATAGGAAACTACATCACATTATGGTATTCAATGACCCATGTACTATCAAAAATTAATAACTCATTACTTATTTTGATAATAAAAAGCACTCATTACAGCACGCACCACTTATTGATATATATATATAGGCCTATATATATAAAATCCTCAAAGTAACTGTTACTTTATACAAAATAAAATAGGTACAAAATTGTGTGGCCAGTCAAACTTTATAAACAAACATTTTATTCTATAAAATACAGATGGTAAATAGGGGTTGGTTTAAAGGAAATAAAATACAAAACATATTAATTAATTATTTTGATAAACATTAGAAAGGTTATGGGATTGATTGAACTAAAATAACCGCAGGGAAACTTATAAGTAGAAAAGTCGTCAACCACAATCTGTTTAATCAGTACATTGTTAGAGAGAGAGAGAGATAGCAGATAGGGGCGTTTGATAAGGAATCTGAAAAAGTAAACAAACAAGGAACAACGACGACGATACTCGTTTACAGCCTTATTGTCTCGCCCACTACATTTGCACACGTGACCACTTTTTGTTTCCTCCTTATCTTTCACCCGTCCCAAAATAGAATTCCTGAAATAGTTTGTTGGTATAATCTCCCCTCCCACACAAGGCGCAGTGCTCAGTGCGCACTGTAGGTTGCCACGGCAACCGTGTGTCGTCATAGCGACTTAGCCAATCACGCACTCGCACTGCGTTGTATATTACGATACGAATAGTTGTGTTAGAAAGACAACGCGATAGGTGGTAGTTTCCTCAAAATTACGATCGATAATCATTGCGTCTTGACTGAGCTGAGGTTCGTGCTTATCAAGACACAATTATGAAACGGAGGAGAGTAAATTTAAATGAAAGTTCCTTATTTATTAATTTAATTTTTATTTGCTAGTTCAATAAGTATTCGGCTCGAACATTTCGAACTTTTTGAAAATCACGAGCCGAGCCGAATAGCGTCCTATTCGGCTCGAAAAAGCTCGATGTTCGAATACTCGCACACCCCTACTGTATACACAAATCAGGTCAAACGTTAAAATACATTTTTTATAGTAACCAAAACAAAATGCATTTTTCTCAATGTAATTCATTTAGGCTCCATGGCAAGAAATAGTTTATTGATCAATATGAAGCAACTGTTTCAAGAAGAATTGTCTGTAGCTTCATTTAAATGGTTTCAACTAACAGCTGTTGGAATGTTATTATTATTTATTGCCTTCTCTGCACAAATGTAAACAATCTGCACAAATGTAAACAAAATAAATGTTGAATATTTAAGGTTTTCAGAATTTTTCACCGAAACAAATATTATACTTAAACATAATATATAAGGTACCAAATAGAAACTCTCCTGGTTATTTTGATGGTGGAACCACACTGATCGGTAAAAGAATCGCAGAGAAATTGGTGAACATACATAGAAAAAAAAAACATCGCCACAAACAAATTGAGAACCTCCTCCTTTTGTTGGTAGTGGGGAAGTCGGTTAAAAATAGTGTTATTTGTGTTATATGTGTAACACCCTGTTCTGATGAAGGCGTTAGACGCCGCGTTTGACAAACGCGCGTGAGTCAAGTACCTAACCTAGGAACAAATGGGATCGTTCACATGCAAACACGCGCTTGGAACCAACGTCGGTTTAATGAGTACCTAAGTTTGCTGCTACAAGAAAACTAATAAAGTGTTTTTTTAGTAAAATATTGATAGCTTAGTATAAAATGAATAAATTTGCCAAATTAATTTAGATAAGAAATATGAACTCAAAATATATCCATAAACTAGGGATGGTCAAGTCTCGAAATTTCGGGAAATTTTCGGGAAATTTTAAATCTCGTTACACGAGACGAGATTTCTTTTTGGCCGAGATTTTTATCAAGACGAGAATAAAAAAAAAAAAATTAAAATTAAAAACGCCAGCAGAAAGTCAATGCAATACCCGCAATACAGGAGCGTGTTGTAGTTGCGTTTTGTTTGCGAAGGCGTTCTTATTTAATTAATTCTTTAAATGTAAATATTACTTTAATTATTTAAATAATATTACTTTAATAACATTTGAGAAGTTTTGTTAAGTGTAAGCAGTGTGAGGAATGTTTTATTACTATAAAAAGTCAAAACAAGTAACTATTTTATAAAAATTAATATTGCTTTTATTTTATGATTTATTTTATTTTAGGATAAGTCGAACTCTATCCTAACTGATATCACTATGTTTTCTAATCGTAGGCATTTTTAATAAGTTAGGCGTGATTGTATGTTTTGAGGGTCAAAAATGAGAAAAACAAATTTTTACTCCATAAAACCCTCATGGTCCAATCATGCTGGTTCGCAAACTCATTCAAGTTTACCCCGCCTTACACCTTTAAACCAAATTTAATCAAGATCGGACAAATATTACTCAAGTTATCGTGTTCACGGACACATATATAACTCTCTCTCTCTCTAATTTAGACTAATGGTGTCTTTGGCCTCTGGGGAGATCAAAATGAAAAAGTTAATCGGTCCCGGGCCTAGGTCTTACCATGCTACCTACGGTAATAACTACTTCCCTATTGGGAAAATCGCTAAAAGAATGGTATATTAGAAAGGATATCATTTTGGCAGCTTCTGCCTCTCCTTCTGCTTGGAAGATTTTCTGTTGTTTCTCCTGCTTGGCTCTTTCTACGACGAAAACTGCCCTCTGGGCCTCTTGTTGAGCTACCTAAAAATATCAACTTAATTTGTTTCGTTTCATAGAAAGTACTTAAAATTTAAATGTGTAATAATTTCAAAGATTTAAGAACACCACAGTCCAGCTTATCCGATCATTTGGATAATCATGATCTAATCAGGATAGCTAAGTTTTCTGAAATACCCAAGGGTTTCCAGCCGATTTGAAAACTGGGAATTGCACGTGTGATTTTTGGAAATTTGGAATAATTGCCAAGCACCATTAGCGGTGTTCCATTTTAAGGTTGTTTTGTTGTAAGAACCCAATCACGGGTGTTACCAAAATTCCTGTATAGATAATCACAGATTTCTTCAACCTTGAAGCAATATATGGCCATCCACAGTCTAATTTTGTATGAACTTGTACAGAATTTTTGGCTAATTCTAACAGTTTGTTATCAGCAGCATTGTCCAGTCCCAATTACTTTGGATGACTCTCGTGCATACTTTTAAAGGGTGTAACATTAACATTGGTGGGACTAAAAAGGTTGAAATACTCATGAACTATTTCCATTGTCAGTCTAAAGAGTTGATCACTAGGTAAGGGAAACACCAAGTAGTTCTACTACTTAGTGGACGTACTTTGTGTCCAAGGTTCAAGTATTTTATGATAGCCCCATGTATTCAAAGACTTTGTGTACAAGTTTAAAGAACCCATAAAAGGGTTTGTTTTATTTTTAATGGACGTGGTTAAATTACCTGTTTTGATTCAACAGCAGCTGTGTATTCCTTTCCAAAACTCAATTCAGTAATAGAAACATCATCAAGGATAATGTTGAAGTCTTGCGCTCTCTCTATCAGTTCTTGCCTCACTTTGAGCGAAACCTGAAACATTAAATAATGTAGGCTCACAAAACGACAAAATATCAAAAACCTTAACTCGGTGGCATAATCATGTGCTAAAAAACAATTTGCCGATGTGATTCTACCATGATTGTGTAACCATCCTTCCCTGATAAATCATCACACAGATCAGTTGAGGTCTTAGAAGTTTCATTTAAATCATGAAAATACTTTAATCCAATCCTATAAATAGCCTGAGTACCTACCACTATTCCAAAAATCTACCGTACCGATTCCAAACTTAAGTTTAGAAAAATTATTATTTTATGAAATTTTGGTACGGTACCGGTACCTGAAAATTGCTTAGGAGGAATGACTTTTTACAACCAAACACTTAATATTGTATTTAAAAATGCTTTTTAAGCTAAACCATCTAGACATACCCTAATGATTCAATGTCTTGCTTTGTCAAATCACTACGCCTTATGCCACATTGAGCCCTACTTAAGTTCTCTAAAAATCAAAATATATTGTTGAAACTATAATTAACTATAATATTATCATGCAGGAATTTCTACAGAACCCAAGGCCACATACGTGTATACAAGTTTGGTAAAATAAAACTCACCTGCTGTCTCATGGTGATGAGTTGATGAGATGCATTAAATTATATGTAAGTATATTATCATGCAGGAATTTCTACAGGGCCTAAGGCCACATAAGTATACAGGTTTGGCTACAATTGTAGGCCTATAGTAAAATAAAACTCACCTGCTGTCTCATGGTGATGAGTTGAGATGCATTAAATTTGGCAACGACAGACTTGAGGACTTCATTGCAGATGGAAGGCAGCACTTTCTCATCATAGTCTAAACCCAATTGTCTGTACATGTCAGGGAGCTTGGTTGCGTTGGGTCGTGACAGCACTCTCAGTCCGATGGAAACCATCTGCAGATCTTTGGAACCAGTGGGTGACGATATCTTCCTTGGCCTAGACCTGAGGGATAAACATGTACAAAGGTCAATCTAGTAATCAAGTACCTTATTGGTTATTAAATAGTTAATGATGAAAATCAGGACTTTCCAGCTCATGTACTTAAATAAAAATTAATCCCTTTTTTTGATGGTGCAGCATTCCATAACTTGAGAACGAGAGCACCGAATTGCATGATTATTTTTTTGTTGTGTTCCTTAGTGCTTGGGGAAGGTTTTTATGTAAGGATTGCGGAAAAATCATGAAAATCTACCGCAGCTGTGAAGACATTCATTGTTGACTGCCGCGGCCGTGTACACATTATCGTCGTTATCCTTGGTCACGGAAACGTCATTGTCGTCTCCCGCGGTTTCGGAAATGGCATTATCGTCGTCTGCAATCACTACAAAATTATGAACATTTCCCGCGGCAGTGTGGACATCATCATTGACTCCCAAGGTCACGGTTACGTCAACATCGTCGTCCACAATCACAACAAAATTGTGAACATCCTCCGTGGCTGTGTAAACATCAAAGTCTTATGCGACCACGCAAAATTATGATAATTTTTTCTGCGGTCACGAAAACGTTATCGTCGACTAGCGCTATCGCGGATTAATCATGAACATCTCCCATCATGTAGACATCATCATGCTCTATCGCGGTCACGGAAACATGATTGTCATCTTGCACAGTCACGGAAACGTGATCGTTGTCTAGTGCGGCAAAATCATGGAAAATTCCCGACTTTAAGACCATTTGGAAATTCAACTTTCGACTTTTCCATTTTCCCGACTACTAGACATCCAGGTACCTATTTTAAATCTTCAGAATTTTCCCTTTAAAACTATATATGCCATAACTCACATTTTTAAAGTTAACCTAGTAAAAAAATGAGGGGAAAAGGCTTGCAATACAAGGCGTACACTAAAATAATGCAAAACTAAAAACGCCTAATGGCTAAGCTTTGTTTTCTCATTCCAAAAAATAAAAACTGTTGTTTGGTGTTACCGTAGTGCACTAGAACATATAATAACATATCCTCCCTTTTAAAGGCATAGGCTTGCCTTGCCACACTGGAGACTTTCTTGATTTTCCTGGCAGCTTGTGCCAGGAGCCTATCTCGAGAATGCCAATATAATAATGCCTGTGCTCAGACATTAACTCCCTAGGAACCTCAGGCGGGATTCAAACTCGCAATGACCCCTTACCGGGTGAGTTGCTTTGGCCCAAACAACTTAACCTAGTCTTCACCTAGAGCTACTTAGGCTGAAGGCTTCACAGTGACAAGGAGGGTGCTTGTTTATTAATTACTTACTTAAGTTAATGTCAACTTACCTAATGTCATAAATTATTGGATATTGGAACCATGGAATTCTAAAGTGCAGACCCTCAGTGTAGATGTCGTTTTGGACTCCACCAATCCTATTGAAAATTATAGCTCTGTGGCCACCTTCAACTGGAAATAAAAAATATTAGGGAATTTATTCAAGGCCTTTTATTGTATTTAGGCTAAATTCATCTAAAATAGCTAAAATAATACTTATGTAGGAATTTAGCAACTCAAATTAAAATACCATTTAGTATTAGGTAGCTAAGTCTGGGATGCAAGATTTTCAAAAAATAGGCCTAGGCCCTAACTTTAAAGATCACACAATAGCTGTTACCTGTGAAATTCGCCCCTGTTTGACTTCTTAAGTATTACCTAATAAAAGTATTAATTGCCGTACCGGGTTGGGTGGCATTTCGAGTGGCTTTTCAAGGTTACTTCGAAGAACAACATTGGACTTAATAAGCTAGTAGAGCCCTAGGAGAGTACCGATTAAAATTAAAGATGTCTATCTCAATTAGCAAAAGCCTGTAGTTAAGTATATTGGCTCTATTTATGGAAAAAAATCTGCTCAATTTGTCAAGTAGTTTTCACGTTATTGACACACTCCAATCATTTCTATAATATTAGTTCCTTCCACACTTCCTAGTCATTGACTTGATCAGTAGGCTAATGCACTAAATTATTAAGACACTTAAGTTAACTTACTCCGTTCCCCAGACATTATTTTTGGGGCAAACAAACGCAATATTTTTTTAGGCCTAGGCCTATATAAATTTTGGAGGAAAAATAAATTAAAAAAGTACCCAACCAAGAAAAAATAAGTTATTTGTTTATTTAGTTATTTATTTATTTATTTATTCGTACATACGGCAATCGCCATTTTACAAAATATGTTTGATTGGTACTTATGCAGAATATTATTATATACATTTTTCTTTCAAAGCCGCTTACATGCAATAATAACTACTAGATTCAATAATTTAAGTTGATTTAGTTGCAGGTACAATTAATATGACACAGAAATAACACAAAAATGTTTCAAAATTCGGTAACTTAGAACCCTCCAAAGTAAACAAAGACCAAAATCATTCAAGGTTGACTTTATGCGGGTCTTTGGCTGCATAAAATGTTTTGAAGAAAGTTAGCCTAACTTAGATAGGCTAAGATTAGGAAGGTGAATGTTGTAGTAAACCGGTTTGTTAATTTAAATTACCTTTAGGGTAATTATATCGACCTCCGGACCTCACGCGAAATTAAAAATTTCTTTTTTCAAAATGGTCGAAATTTCACGCTGATTTCAAAAATGATTGTCGTTTTTTTCGGAAACGTCCCGTTTTCCCGGAAAATGGGAAAAACGGGAAAAATATTTTTTGCTCAAAACCCATGTTGTGGGTACTCAAATTATGCGGAATTTCCTCCTGGACAAGAATATGTAAATTTTATTACGATCGGACTACTATTAAGTAAAATATCACCGAAAAACGGGAAAACGGGGAATTTTTTTTTGCTCAAAACACATGTTGTGGGTACTCAAATTGTGCGGAATTTCATCCTGAACAAGAATATGTAGTTTTTATTACGATCGCTTTTAAGTAAAACATCACCGGACAGGTTAACTAACCTAACATAACCTAACTTAGGTTTAAATTAGGTTAGGTTAGGTTAGGATAGGTTAGTTTAGGTTAGGTTAGGTTAAGTAAGGTTAGGTTAAGTTAGGTTAGGTTAGGTTAGGTTAAGTAAGGTTAGGTTAAGTTAGGTTAGGTTAGGTTAAGTTAGGTTAGGTCAGGTTAAGTTAGGTTAAGTTAGGTTAGGTTAGGTTGGTTTAGGTTACGTTAAGTTTGGTTAGGTTAGGTTAGCTTAGGTTAGTTTACTTACAATACTTACTTATTCTAACCTAAACTAACCTATCCTAACCTAATCTAAGTTCGTAAGTTAGGTTAGGTTGGGTTGGGTTAGTTAATCAATAACATGAGTATTGTAAGTAAACTAACCTAAACCAACCTAACCTAACCTAACTTAACCTAACCTAACTTAACATAATCTAACTTAACCTAACCTAACCTAAACTAACCTATCCTAACCTAACCTAATCTAAACCTAAGTTAGGTTATGTTACGTTAGTTAACCTGTCCGGTGATGTTTTACTTAAAAGCGATCGGTTAGGATAGGTTAGTTTAGGTTAGGTTAGAATAGGTAAGTATTGTAAGTAAACTAACCGAAGCTAACCTAACCTAACCAAACTTAACCTAACCTAACCTAAACCAACCTAACCTAGCCTAACTTAACCCTAGCAGTGGCCAATGTTAGAAGTGGGGAATGGCCAACCCATTTTGGCGATTTTGCAGACCTTTTTTTGAAAATTCGTAAAAATTCAACCGTACAAGTAAACCTAGCCAACCTCATATTCATTTTGTTCGGAAAGAACAGGAGAATCTAGAAATAGTAATATCATAATGATTTAGACAGTGTATTTTATCGATAAAGTGAAAAAAATAAAAAAATTTGAATTTTTTTTTTGAAATTTTAAAAGCGGCCTTGGTATTTTTTTTCTACGGATTTCTTTATGGGAAATTCATTATATACATTTTGTAGAAAATCTAATTCCCTACATAGAAATATATAACATGTTAGGAAAATATTTTTTTTTATAAGTTTTTGGGGCGAAATATAATGACAAACGGAGAACCGAAAAAATTGAGAACTGTACAGTGTTAGTTTATGTTGTAAAAAGTTCTATAATACATGTGTATACTAATAATGATATATACATGTTTGTAAAGCTAATGAAGTAAGGAATCAAAAAAAGTCATAAAGTTTATGGTAAAAATAATTTTTTACCTATAAACATACGTATATAAAATAATGTTTATATATTTTAGCGATTTCTCGAAAAACAAAATTCACAGTACTTAGTATACAACTTTTGTACCAAATTTTTTTACTTCAAACCAACATAATAATCTTGTAGTGTATTCAATTACCAACATAAAAATGTATAACATGTTAGAAATATTCTTTGTGTAGGTACGTAATAGGGACATAATAATACAATAACCGCAAAACCGCAAATAAGTGTAAACTATAGCCTACAGTGTTTGCTTGTGTTGTGAAACATTATGTAGGCTGATGATATGTAGCCTACATATTTGTAAAGCCAATGAAGTAAGGAATCCAAAAAAGTCATAAGTATGATGGTAAAAAGTTATTTTCACCTATGATTATGTAGGCCTATCAATTTGAGAACGTTTTGAATTTTTTGCGCATTTCGAGAAAATGGAGTGTACAGTATTTAGTAGCCTATATAATTTTTTACCAAATTTTTACACCCAAACCAATATAAACATGTTGTAGTGTCTTCATTTACCTTTATAAAAATGTATAACACCTTGGGTAAATCATTATAACCCCTCTGAATGTCAGAATCGTCATTTTTGGACATGATGCTAACAAAATAGCCTACAGTAGTAGGCCTATTTAGTATAGGCTATAACTTGTTTACAAAATTGTTTACCCCCGAACCATTATAAACATGTTGTAGTGTATTCATTTACCTTTATAAAAATGTATAACACCTTAGGTATATCATTATATAGGTACAACAATCTCTGAATGTCAGAATCGTCATTTTAGGACATGATGCTAACAAAATACAACCTTTTATGAACACTATTCCACACAATTCAGTAATATTTATGCATGAAGATAACTGTTATACACACACACACAACACTTCACTTACACTAACACTACGAACTAATAACATATTTAGTAATAAATCGCGGATAAAACTATTACGGCAACAACACAAACAAACAATGGCAATACAAGACAGCTGACAGACTGTGGCAGTAATGACTCACTTCCGTCGTCTACATCACTGTCTACATGCGAGCATACAGAAATGACCCTGAGTGCAGGGCTGCCACTCTCTGAATCTAAATTTCTTCCTCTTCAAAATGATATACTATATGACTAGTAATAATAACTTTCACTGTATATAATTCGTATTTTCCATACTGTCACCAGACGACTGTTGGCCATTTGTTAGAAATTTCGAAAACAGCTGTTTTCATAAAATCGTACCGATTGTGCAATCAATATTTAGTTATAAATATCACTACCACAATGAAGATAAAATCAATGGCTATCCAGTGGTATCACCCGCAACATCCCAAGACGAAAATTACCCGAGCAGGGTAATGCCAAACAAGACGTGTTTTGCCAGTTCCCAAGTGTCGGCTGCAAAAGTCGTACCGCGCCAAAATTTCATTTGATTTCTAATCGTCGTGACATTGTTATATACCTTCTACAGGGTTTGTTTATGTAATCAAATGAAAGTTCAGAATGTGATCTTTCGAATGGTATATATATTATTCTAATCTGAGTTGATTGTAAGTGTTTTTTTTACCGTTAAAAAAATTTCGGCCCATACCGTAACCAGACGACTTTGGCCATTCTAAGCATCAACGTCATACCGTAACCAGACGACGGTTGGCCACTGCTAGGGTTAACCTGACCTAACCTAACTTAACCTAACCTAACTTAACCTAACCTTACTTAACCTAACCTAACCTAACCTAACCTAACTTAACCTAACCTTACCCTAACCTAACCTAAACTAACCTATCCTAACCTAACCTAAACTAACCTATCCTAACCTAATTTAAACCTAAGTTAGGTTATGTTAGGTTAGTTAACCTGTCCGGTGATGTTTTACTTAAAAGCGATCGTAATAAAAACTACATATTCTTGTTCAGGATGAAATTCCGCACAATTTGAGTACCCACAACATGTGTTTTGAGCAAAAAAAAATTCCCCGTTTTCCCGTTTTTCGGTGATATTTTACTTAATAGTAGTCCGATCGTAATAAAATTTACATATTCTTGTCCAGGAGGAAATTCCGCATAATTTGAGTACCCACAACATGGGTTTTGAGCAAAAAATATTTTTCCCGTTTTTCCCATTTTCCGGGAAAACGGGACGTTTCCGAAAAAAACGACAATCATTTTTGAAATCAGCGTGAAATTTCGACCATTTTGAAAAAAGAAATTTTTAATTTCGCGTGAGGTCCGGAGGTCGATATAATTACCAACTTTAGACCTAAAGACTGTTTTGTGCTTGAAATAATGGGTTAAACAAAGAATTATTTTAAACATGTTTGCATATAAGTTAGGTAGGTCCTGGCCTACTGTATTATTAACATATGTAAACTTACTTAATAGGCTAACCTTGGTAGGCCAATACGGTAGAAGTAGCCTGACTAACTAAAGATATAGCCTAGGCCTAGAGTTCGAACAAGTAGGCTAACTTAAGTAGCCTGTTGAAGTAGGCCTAACTTTTAAGTAAAAATGGAACTGTACCCTAAAAATGAACTAAGTTTAAATAAGATCTAAATTCAATTTGGTAGGGTATCTAGATAAGCTGACATAAATTGAAAGGAAGCCCAGCTAGGTCACAACAGGGCTTGTGATGAAACAATTTTCAGCCTTGGAATAGTGAATTTTTTTCACTTTACAGGTTCGAAACCAAATCAGGCTGTTATAGGCTAGTTTAAATTATTGGTTTATTACCTGTGAACATTGACTAGGCCTAGGCCTAGAGTTCGAACAAGTAGGCTAACTTAAGTAGCCTGTTGAAGTAGGCCTAACTTAAGTAAAAATGGAACTGTACCCTAAAAATGAACTAAGTTTAAATAAGATCTAAATTCAATTTGGTAGGGTATCTAGATAAGCTGACATACATTGAAAGTAAGCCCAGCTAGGTCACAACAGGGCTTGTGATGTAACAATTTTCAGCCTTGGAATAGTGAATTTTTTTAACTTTACAGGAAACCAAATCAGGCTGTTATAGGCTAGTTTAAATTATTGGTTTATTACCTGTGAACATTGACTGACTAACAGCATAAACGGCAGCGCCGGCTGCAGCAAGAACTTTTAGTCCGGTCCCTAAGCCTTTGGGGTTACCTCCAAATTTATTCGCCATATCGTTCAATTTAGATTGAGCCATTTTCGACTAAATATGTTACACTCCAACCAACAAAAACTTGTTATGTGCGTTTTAACTATAATTAATATTTGAACTAAACTTTTAAATCGGTTTAAATGCTTAATTTTCCCATTCCCTAAAACAAGAATGATGCAAGGCTCGACCAAATCGTGATCGTGAAGCACAGACAGACACAGAGAAGAGAAGAGAGAAGAAAACAGAAACCGAAAAGAAAACACAGCATAGGCAAAGCTGTACACATGTAGCTTTTACTCAGTTTCGACAGCTTCAAATCAAATCCAAAAATCAAATTTTATATGTAGGTCAATAAATAATCAATAAGTAATTTATTGGGCCAAACTGACAATACTTCCATTAGACAAGTCAATACAAGAAAAAATAAATTTAGTACATTGATTTAGGTACAAATACAAATTAGTACAAGTGTATAAACATATGGAAATTTTAAATTTAATTTATTAAATTATTTTTCTTTACGAACTCATGAACAATAGAAAACGTTCGCTGACCCCTCATAGAAATAAAAAGTAAAGATGATCGCAAGATCTCAGGTTCAAGTCACATTCTCACGGGCAAAGACCTGGCTGAGAACAAGCCAGGCATAAGGCATAGATTGAATTTCGATCTGGAATGCACGTAGAAGAAATTGTAACCGATGGGAACAGTCGACGAGAAACAATATTGTTCCCATCGATTCCAAGAAACTATACATGCATAAAGAAATAAATTTTACTTACGGTCAGCACCACGCCCTCTCTGGAGGCTGGACATGAGGGGAGAAGCCAATGAGGACGATGATCGAAGATATTCCACGGATGATTGGAGGGTAGGCGTTTCTCGAAGACATCGGGGGAAGAACCAAACATCGAAGGAGGGAAAGGAGGTATTGGAGACGAAAAGTGTTCATCAGTCTTGGAGCGGTCTCAAGAAGTGGCACTTCAAAGAAGAAACCGTCGGGAGTCCCGGATCGAGTAGGGACAGTGACTTAACAGGATAGTCTGAAGCACCTGTTAAGATCCCGACCAGACTCGAGATCACGAGGACACAACAACCTCACGGCTATCTTCAAGACCAAAGGCCACCACCACACTACCAAGGACCAAAGCAACCCGAAGAGGGCGGCCCATAGGACGAGCGACCGACGACGAGAGGAAGGACTACGCTTGGATCATTGTGTCTCGAGCGAGCAACCCCGGAGCACAGAAAACATACTACTATAACCCAGAATGCCAACCGCATGGTAAAAACCATTAAGTGTTTTGAGAGAGCTTTGCCTGTCAATCGGTAGGCAGCGCCACCAGCGTTGCCATGCACTTAGCATAGCAACGCTGGTGGCGCTGCCTACCGATTGACAGGCAAAGCTCTCTCAAAACACTTAATGGTTTTTACCATGCGGTTGGCATTCTGGTTTTCTGTGCCCGGAGTCTACGCCCGCACCAAATGAACGCCCGGGGAACTTTTCAATCGTTGCCCAACTGCCTCGTCTTGTGGTATGTCGAAATATCTTCACTCATTTGGTCATAGTGTGCACAACTTAAATGGTGAGGGAAAACTCCATAAAATATAACAAAATCTACATATAAATGAAATAAATAAACTATAAGAAAGATAAATTAAATTGAGGTAAACATCGAGTAAATGAATTAGGTAGAATTACGTTAAGGTTCATATAAATACTAACCCTCAATTAAACTAAAAGGGGTCAACCTAAACAAGAGCAATTTGAAGTTTGAATAAAACAGGATTCAAATCGAATCCAAATAAATAAACCTGTTAGTTGGAATACAAATATAGACGTGTATATAATAATAATAAAGACAATTTCAAACATGTGTAGATAATTGAAAATTAGGGTGTTAACCACATAAACACGTATTTTAAATGCTTGTTTAGTTAGTATACAGGGTGTTTTTTTAAAAACTTGCATCTTTATTTATGTAAAAACCGCAATAGATAGAAATATGCAGTTTGCGGGAATTATCTATTGACGTAGGGGGCCCAATTGTTTTGAATTCAACGTTACATTCACATTCCCCCCCCTGCCCCCAACTTATTTTTTTTTAAATAGCAAGATACCCCTTGTGACATATCAAATGAAAGAGCATGAAAAAAGAAAATGTTTGATGAAAAAAAATTAAAAATCGGTTCATAAATTTGCGAGATAATCCCCCCCCCCTTCCACGGAACTTGTTTTTTTTTAATAGCAAAGTACCCCTTGTGACATATCAAATGAAAGAGCATGAAAAAATAAATTTTTTGGTGAAAAAAAATTTAAAATCGGCTTATGAATTTGTGAGATAATCCCCCCCATTTTCCCCTACCCATAACTTGTTTTTTAATAGCAAGGTACCCGCCCTTGTGACATATCAAATGAAAAATAAATTTCACCAAAAATTTTCTTTTTTCATGCTCTTTCATTTGATATGTCACAAGGGGTACTTTGCTATTAAAAAAAAATCAAGTTCCGGCGAAGGAGGGGGGGGGGGAATATCTCGCAAATTTATGAACCGATTTCTATTAAAAAAAAATAAGTTGGGGGCAGGGGGGAAAGGGGGGGGGAATGTGAATGTAACGTTGAATTCAAAACAATTGGGCCCCCTACGTCAATAGATGATTCCCGCAAACTGCATATTTCTATCTATTGCGGTTTTTACATAAATAAAGATGCAAGTTTTTAAAAAAACACCCTGTATATTATCAGAGGGATGAACTAACTGTAAATATCGGTTTAGATTTAGGATAGGACATTGCAAGTGTTTACAACTTATATTTTAAATACATTTAAGTGTCAAGGGAAATATTTCATTCCATATCATTATACAGATTATAAAATCAAAACATAGGGTGTAAATATTCAATCATATCATTTCAATTGTGTTTGTGATTTTGCCATTCTCAATTATTATTATATCACTGTGTAACAATTATTTACTCTTTATTAACTCTTTATTTTATGTACTTATTTTATGTGTGCACATTTAGTTAGACTTATTAAATCATAGTATTATATAGTGGCGGGAATCACCGAATTAAAATAACCGAATCAATCGGTTATTGATGCTGAATAGACTAATTCGGTTATTTTATCCTGGTTCGGTTAAATTAGTCTTACCGTGCGATTCGGTGATTTAGTTATTTAGTTTGTCACATTATCAGGGAACAAAAATTTATTCGGCGATTCGTTCGACTAAAAATCGCCGATTGACGCTAAAAGACTAAATGCCATTCAGTTTCCCATAGGATAAAAATTAGTTGTGGTTTGTGACAGTGAATAATGACTAAAATTGATTCGGTGATTTATTCAACTAAAAATAACCGATTGACGCAAAAAATAACTGATTGATTATTCGGTCATGGAAACCATTCGGTTATCCCATCACTAGTATTATACTGCACTGGTGTTCACTTATTCCACGATCCTAGAGGTCCTCCATCTAGTGAGTACTCTACCCTAGCTACATTTTCCCCCTTTGGAGTAAATTTTTGTTTGGTAAAGGTTTTTGTAAGTTTCTTTTACCTCTTCAGAGGTGTAGAGGCCAGAGAGCTTTACAAGTGGAATGTCAATAGTTTTAAATAAAAAAAAATACATTTTCCGTATTTGATCACAATACGTTCATTCAAAATTAAACTGGAACAGTGTAGCCTACTTATTCTCCAAAAGAAACATGGGAACTTTAAATTTAGCTTTTGTAATTTTCTCCTTAAAAGCATAACAATGATTCAATATAGGTACAGGTACTGAATGGTTTGTTTGGTTAATCTGTACAAAATTGTTTGGAATGAAATGGGGAAGTTTCATGTTTTTATCGTGTGAATTTGGAAAGAACAAGTTTTACCTCATAGTGTGAAAATGATGGTTTGTGAACTCTTTCAAATAAACACAGATTTACACATTTTTGTATCAAATGTTATCAAAATCGGATCAATTTTGTTCAAGTTATCGTGCTACTAGACATATGCTATATCGTTCAGATGGTGTTTTTGGCCTCTGGGGACCCCAAAACAAAAAAGTAAATCGGTCCCGGGTTCTCACTATGAGACCTACCATAATAGTTTATTCCCTTTTATGGGAAATTTGATAACACTGTATTCCCCATATTGGAAATTTGCTAAATGCAAGCCAGTCTATGTTGAAGACATTGAAGAAAAATGTTTACAGAATAATAATTAACCTATAAATCAACTATAACTATGATACAAGGCATGGCAAGTGGTGATCGATTTTGACTGGAGACTCCAATCATCAGACCAAATAGACATGTGATTCGCCTATTGGGTCTGACGACGATTGGAGTGTCTAATCAAAATCGATCCATATTTTGCATGTCTTGTGAGTCAACAGTAAGTGTAAAAATATTAAATAAAGACATATTTATTAAGTTTTTACTTTCTGTACGCTTTTTTATAACTTGTTATACATCTTCAGCCAAAGTGATGTGTTTTATAATGGAGGAGTGCTTTGGTGTGGTACCACAGACTCCTAGAGTTGTATCTTATATCGTTGGGTAGTAATAACAAACATATAAATAAAAAATAAACAGACTGTTTTATTGGACACTTGTTATAACATATTTAGAGTGCAACTTAAGTTTAAAGATTATAAATGGACACAAGTTGTTAATATTACAAACGTAACATGCATCTTGTAAACATAGTGTAACTGTTATTACAGAGTAAAATTTAGAATTCTAATTATGATACAGGATGGGAAACTGTTAACAGAGTAGAATAATGGACAATTCTTTGGTTAAATAAAAATTAATAAGAGAGACTTTGATTTAGGTACTTTTATTCAAAACGATATAGATCTCGCCAGTTCTTTTTGGATAAACAATTAGTTATTTTAATATTATCAGCATACAGTATTAAGAAACCATTACTAGTCTGAACTAGGTCTGGCTGATTTTCATCAACCTGCTGACCAGCCATCCTAAAGTACAATTTATAGAAATAAGATACATTTTAAAAGTTAAAACAATAAGTTTAGCGTAATTTGTGCACAATATTTCTCTGCACAGCCATTTTTCTAAACATACAACAGTCTCGTAGGTAACTACGGTATAAGTCAGAAGAACTGTGTTTGGTTAGAAGACTTAAGATTATAAAGTGAATAATAATCAAAAGCCCACACTACCTAGAATAACAATATGGCAGGTTATTTAAGA